ATTGAACTATGATTATGTGTACATGTACAAAATAAGACTTATTTTGTTTTCGGATCATGATAATCGGACGATAGCACTGCTGATGTACATCAAAGTTTATGTGATAAATTCCAAACGATCGCCTGGAAACTTCAAAGTAATGTAAATGGGATGGAAAATCGCCTTATCTTTTGCAAACCTGCTTCTTTCTGGCACAGTCTGTATTATAAAGGTCATCATTTACTGTCTTTTGACCCAACCGATTACCAAACTACGCCATGTCAGCCTGTAAATAGGAAACTTTTTTTTAAAAATAAGAACCCTATGTAACACTGGACCACGAGGTAAACGATCGTTGAGCTGACTGAGTCATAGACAATAATATAAGCTTCATATGCAATTACACATCAAATTGGAAAATACAGTTGGATTAAACGGTGATATAAACGCATTTGACGTTTCTGAAAAACATATGATAAAACCACACAGTGGGGATTAAATATCAGTCAGATAAAAGAGTCTAATTACACTCTACGTCTGACATGCTAGATTTTACACATCCGTTCAAATTATTGCGTTTTACTTTGATACATTTTCTATTTAATGAAGTTAAAATCGGTCAGCTGTCAGAGCAATTGTTTGAAAAGAAATTTTTAATTTGCTTTCTTCTGGAAATCTGGATTCTTAAGCTTTCGGATGTCTTTCAGACGGTACCCCATATGGCAGTTAGATTATCTGATAGTTAAGGTCTATTTATAGATTGGTTCAGAAAGTTACAAGTATTAAAGGGACAAATTCCACATCCGTTTGACCAATCGAGTCTCAGTCTCAGAAAAGGAATATTTTTAGCTAAGCTAAGCTAAGAAGTAATCGTGTTCCAGCTTATCGTTTAAATTTGAGCCTTCAAATCTTTGTGTGTTCACAACTATCTGTGTCAGAAAGTTAAAAAGACGACTCGTCTTTGCTTGAGACATATATGGAAAAGACATTAAATATAAATAACTTGTTTGGGTTATTTTTGAAGGAATTATGCTTTTTTCGCACATTTCTAATACTTCTGTTGACTATTTATATATATTCAAGACACCAAAATGGCGAACATGTCCTTTAGGGTTCGAATAGACGAGGTACCTAGTCCTTGGCCTTGGATGGTGTATTATCGCTACAGTAGAAAATGGACAAGGCGTATACTCGATGTACGATGCACGATGGCGTGCACCATACATTTTGTCGATACAGTTAAAAAAAACATAGAAGAAGCGAATACACAAATACAGCTCTTTGCTATCAAATGTGGTCAAAATAAAGCTGGCACTACTATCTGGTAGTGAGCCTCAGTTTTGTCTTTGATTACCTTTCCCCAGCTACTGACTGACTGGCCTCGGCAAGCAATATATTTCCTAGCGCTAGTGTCATCTTACTTATGTACGATCGAGTCGCGTGGTTTGTCAGTGTATATTGTATCCAGATACAATTATGACTCTACGATTTATTGAATTATTGTAAATTATTAATTGTAACCAATACAGATGGCTTTATTTCTATTTGTTTCATTGTTATTTCTCTTGATGAACCAGCGCACAACTAACTTTATAGCGACAATAATTATATTGCAAATGTAGGTCATAGAATTTGTATGGCATTTAGAACAGTAATTATTATGTTGTTATTTCAAAGGTACTTCCTCTTAGGATGATCAAAAAATTTAGATTTTTCTAACTTGGCCAAAATATGTCTTTGTTCATTAGTGGACTTACCTGATGTCATAAAAACCTTACAACAGCATTCCCTCTACAATCTAATAAATCCATAAAACTAAGTATTAATTCATAAGTTATTTTGAAACACGCTTAGAAGCGTTTTTTTCCATACTTACTTAGTTATATAGATAGATGGATATATTACAGATTCTATTCTTTAGTCATGACACCTGGCAAGTCCAACTAATGAATATATAGTCTTGTTTGAAACTTTAAATTGTATGCCCATTCTAAGAGGTAGTATTCCTTCAATAGCGACAATAATTATATTGCGAATATAGGTCACACATTTTTGTATATAGCAATTATTATTTTGTGTTATTTTAATAACCATAATTATAATTATAATAGGAGATATGACGAACTCGTTAGTTATGACATACCTGAAATTCAAATTTTTTACTATATGGTTATTAATTATTTTAAAACGTTGGTGAATATTATTGGGCAGGGATATTTAATTACATCGAACAATTCACAGATAACGGATCAAAGCATATTTGTCGTGAACAGGTCATTTAATGCTTATTGAAATTGCTATCAATAAATATCAATAAATAAAATGTTATATACAAAAGGTACAAAAAATGCAAAAGAGTTGTAGAGCACCATCGTTTGTTATTTGTAACCTGTGGTGGCGATTTCTGTCCAAGATTAGGTTAAAAATGTATTTCACATCTTCTGAAAACCATGTACTGAAATTTGTGGTAGTTATGTGATTGGGAAAAAGGGTAAAAATTTCAAAATCACAAAATAGATATAATCATCCATAATAATAGTACCGTACTTTAAAAGTTCTAGAAACTTTTTGCATCAATCTGTTAATTCACCATTCAGAATTTAAGTTTTCGAAAACTATTGTTTTGGTTTGAGGTTGTTTAGATATGCCTCTAACATTGACTTAGTACGGTTAACTGGGAAATTAAACTAGAAATATTAACAGAACCTGAAATATATTGTTACTCAAAGTTTCACGCTATGCGATCTTCAGTATATCTCTCTACAATTGATGTATTGAGCACTATTTTAACAGTGAAAATATTTCGTGATGGACTATGTAACTGTATAAATTACAAGTCAGTTTTACCGGTTTGTTATATAAAAGAACTTCAGAATACCTATGTAGTTAGTTAGTAGTATTCTATAGAGAATTGTCTAGCCTTAAGAATCTTATCACTAATTTCAAGCCGACATGTCTTAAGATTTATTTCTTTGCCTTCTGGAATTGGTAGTATATCGGTCAGTTGGCACCAGAATGATAAAGACGAGATTCTTGACAATGATGAGAATTATTCTGTGCACGAAAAGGATTTGAGAGAAACTTCCAGTCGTTTCCGTTTCAAGTGTCTACCACGTCTCTAAGACTAATTACTGTCGTAGACATTGATCTGCAATGCAAGTAATGGTACCATATTTGTAGTCGTCAGACTTTACTTTAAGTCTGATTTATCCGACCTCTGATCAATTACTAGGGTTAATCTAGACATTGAATTTTCTAAATTTAAAATTAAAGGTTAACTTATGTCTAATTTGATACTTCAAGAGACGAATCCAAATCATAATCCAGAAATCAAAGTCACAAGCGACGAAATCAATGAACCCATGATTGAGTCAAATACTGACCCAGTGATGACAATTAATGTCAGAACGTGGTGTCCTTTGAAGGGCGCTTTCTACACAGTAGACCAACTAAGACAGTAGACCAACTAAGATAGTATTATTAACTTCAGAGTAGACCTGTAATGAAGTCGTGATTACTGTGACCAGCTTGGCTGAAACTCAAGCTGTTAAGTCGGCTAAGCTTAAAGTTAGGCTGAAATATCGTGTTGTGGGACTATCAGTTGTCTAAACATAAATCACTAAAACATTAATTAAAAAGTGTGTGTAATATTTAGAATAGATGCTTTTGACACCCAACAGAATTTTCATACACTATAATTAATCGCAAAAGTCAACTTCTGCCAAGCGTTCGGCTGCTCGTCCACCTCGGCGGTTAGTCGAAAAAATAACAAAGGCGGCGTTTTCAACAGTGACTGACGGCGGCGACTTACAGGACTACTTCAAAGACAAGCATACCACAAATTGGATTCAAAATGGACTTTATGGATGTTCATATAGTCAAGATGTTTCAATTAAATGGCGAAAATAAGACTTTGTACAAGAACAGAATAAAGGCAGTCTTGTCACATTCTTAGCTTAGTAATTCGATGCAATCTTGATTTCCAATTGACAAAAGCTCATCTCATGCTCCTTAAAGACGTTTCGGTTATAAAACCCACACCAGGACAGCTGGTTTGAAATGGACGCAATGATTAATGCAATGTTACTTGACTTACATGTACTTCAAGACGTTACTTCCATGCCATTGATTGAACTTGCTTGAATTTAATTGTTTAATGTTCGGTCACCAGCTCTTTGAAACTATACAATTATCTTGAAGAGCGTTATTGCCACCCCCGCTTTGTGTCGCTTGTAGAGTCTTTTCTCATATATTCTATAGGTTACCTTTTAAACGTCTATTACTTTAAGTAGACTAACCTTGTCATTTTGTGTTTAAATGGCTGGGACTCCATGTCGATCAATTTCCCCTTTCCACCCGTGTCAAGTAGACAGGTTTATACCAAGTCTAATTTCATCATATAAGAGGTATAAAAATCTTAACGATGTCGGCTTACACAGTGGATAAAAGACATAAAAAGATGCCTTTGTCGGAAGGCGGAAAGGCCACGGGACTATAGTGACAGACATTAGCTTAACTGATAATGCATTATTGCAGTTTCTTTGAAGGCATCATCGTTATTGGGTCTTCTTTATATTGATAAATTGAAGTTCATAAACGATATTTAAGTCATTCCAATGTAATAAAATGATTCAAATGTTTTTGATCTACAAGGTGTGGTACAATACACCTCTACGTTTCATAGTATGGAAAAATACAGATTGATCACCAACATTTTTTCAAAATTAAGATAAAATTCCGTAATGCAAAACAATTCCATTAACCCAAACTTTCGTAAAAAGTAGTGGACTCCTCAAACCCGAAGTACCATCAGGTGTTGAGCAATTTTATTTATTTTGGAGAGTGCTTTTAGGGTAATTGTTCAGCAATTGGACAACAATAAATCAATGACAAAGGACACTGTGTTGGTAATAGATTCCTAATATATTATCATAAGTTTTATTCATGCCTATTTATTCTAATTTCAGGTTGAACTGATAAAAATGGACTACGAGAAGAATTGAGGATCAAGGGACATTATCATGTCTGTATCTAGTGCTGTGGGAGGTCTTCCCACTACCAGCCTTCCTGGGTTCTACAGTAATACATCATTGTATTCACCCGAAAACAGTTCCATCATCTCTAATGGAACTTCAGCGTCATATCAGAATGCTACTGGGACGTTATGTGCTTGGGACGCCGAACAAGGTGCCATAGTCTGTGATAATATTAACGATATAGTAGGGAACGGAACAGCCGGAACACAACCCAAACAACCATTGTGGGTATCAATTATACTTGGAATATTAGCCGGCTGTATCAGTGTGCTGACCATTTTAGGAAATATTTTAGTATTATTGTCGTTTGGTTTAGAGAGAAGTATACGACAACCGACAAACTATTTTCTTGCCTCATTAGCCGTCTCGGATCTGCTCATTGGAACGTTTTCGATGCCCTTATTGACCCAGTATATATTATTAGACCATTGGTCACTCGGTCCCTGGCTATGTGATCTGTGGTTGGCTTTAGACTGGACTGTTTGTCTCACGTCGCAATATACCGTGTTTCTTATAACTATGGATCGTTTCCTCTCGGTGAAAATACCCGCAAAATACAGAAATTGGCGAACTGAGCGGAAAGTTTTAGTGATGATAGCTTTCACGTGGATATTGCCAACATTAGTGTTTTTCACATCCGTCATAGGATGGCAGTATTTTGTGGGTGAAAGAACTGTAAAGGAAGGCTCATGTGAAGTTCAGTTTATGAGCGACCCTTTATTCACATTTCTGTTAACTTTAGGATACTATTGGATAACTCTCTTTGTTATGTGCGTTCTCTACGCTGGAATATACAGAGTTGCATTAAAGCTACAAAGGAAGTCCGACGCCAAACAAAAAATTCTAAAATCAGCTATGGAATTGGCTGCCGATCATGCAGCTTTGCGCAATACTATATCTAACTCGAGTGACAGTCCGCAACCTAAAAATAAAAACAAGAAAACCGTGATCGAAAACAATAAACCAAAAGGTATGACAAAAACAACCAGCTTCAGCAAACAAAAAGCTAAAGAGCAGGAAGACGATCGATCTAGTAGCCCAGCATTCGCTTCAGATGATGAAAACAGTAGTAGCGCTGGAGCTGGTGGCACAAGTAAAACTCCGTTAACAAATCATAAAGCCAAACGGATCAAGGGCCAAGAAGGTTTCATAAACAATGCTTTACAACCAGATTCTTGCAAAAATCCACACCGATCCCCTGTGGAGTTCTTACTTCCAACTCAAATACCTGGCATTAACTTATTATCGGCTCCAGAAGTTCGTGTGGACTTCCCCAGTGAGATTACTTCGGACCAACCCACTAGGGAAATTGAATTTGACAGTTTATACTCCACATCTTCGGAGCGCATGGACAAATCGTCCATACCTCTTTTGCAAAATGACATCATCAAAGGAAGTAAATATATTGATGAAAAGAGCTTCCAATCTGTTAATTCAGAAGGTGTGAAATTTTTAATTGATCAGCCCAATACGGACAATAATGAAGATGAGCAAGGTTCTCCAGTGTGGAGGAGACGCAACTCGGCGGATGGGAACCCTACTGTGACTGTGGATGCTCCTTCGGGCACTGCTCCTTTACAAGATAAACGCGAGTTCATGTTGGAGGATGAAATGAAGACAGATAATAACAAAGGTGATAACAATGCAAATAACAAGTCCCATAATCTTTCTCCCGAAGACGCTTTAGAAGAGCGCGGTGTGCAACGCTTAGCTGCACATAAGCGTAGGAAAAATGGACGCCTTCAAAATTTAGTTAAATCTGTTCGGTCGAGAAATAGTCGGCGAAGAAATAGGCGAGAAAGAAAATCAAAATCTGAGAATCGTGCTCGGAAAGCTTTGCGGACCATAACTTTTATTTTAGGAGCTTTTGTGCTGTGTTGGACACCGTATCATATAATGCTTCTAGTGATAGCAATTTGTAAAGGTTATGCTTGTATTAGTATCCCCTTTTATAACTTCACATATTGGCTGTGTTATCTCAATAGTCCAATAAACCCTTTCTGTTACGCTTTTGCAAACGCTCAATTTAAGAGGACGTTTCTTAGAATACTCAAGCTGGATTTCCATAGAACGTAGCATTGTTTATGTGTACAAGAGTGTGGAAGAAATTTTTAGGACCATATTAAATTGGTTATGTTACATAGACGAATATATTTCTAGTTGTTATTCCTTCCAAATGAGATGTGACTGGTATTATTTCTGGACGGACTAATTGTCACATCCGTAACGTATATAAGTTAATAGTGTATTATAGAACGTATTTCCAAGAACTGCTCATCTATTACTGTTAGTTATAACACGATAATATCTGAAAGCGGATTTTGTGTTACTCTTTCTCGGAGGTTCTCCTTCACTACACAATGATATAATCATGGCTTTATATGTGTTCAAAGCAGCAATTCATGTGATAATGATAGTTGGAAAGTTAATAAGAGGAGATTACAGGATACCAGTTTCTCATCTTAAATTACCCTTCGTTCTCATCATAGTAATCTGTATACGTCATCCAATTCTTAATAACGTATCTTATATTCAAATCGTTATATTACATTGTCAAGCAATCACCATTATTGTTCCAAATTCACTGAATTTTCTCACGTAAGATATGTATGCACACTGAAGTATGATACAAAACATGAACCAGAACAGTCTTCTATATTTTTAGGTAGTTTAAGTGGTGATGAACATATTAATAATCTGGCTTGTTTATTTCAATTTATTCAATAACATACCTCAAAACAAAATAGAATGCTCCTCCTTATATTTTAAATCAACACCAGACATCTTTGCACGCCTTTGCGAAAAAAAAACAATTGTCATTTGAGGTCAACAAGCGGCATAATTATCTATGAATTCTTAATAACGCATTCAAAACAAAATAAAATTTCTGTTCAAAGCCAGTCATGCTTTCTGTAAAAAAAACAAATTTAGATTATGAAATCCACGTCGACATTTCAAAGCACGCCATTAATGTTGTTTCTCTAAACATATTGCAGACTTATTAGAAATAGAATCCATTTGAAACGAATTAAATTTAAGTAAATGTAGTTGTTTAAAGTGCGTTTGTATGAAAATGGGAATTGTGAAATATTGCGAAAAAAGTCAATTTTTAGCTTTCGGAGACGCCGTCTTTAGCAAAGCAAACAAGTGCCATACATTTGAGTAAAGAAAAAATTCTTCTGGGAATCGAAATCAAATTAATCACCGTCATAATTGTGAAAACCATCACCTGCGTTCACTCCCACATGCTATTTTGACTTCAACTTTAACTTTGTTTCATTCAGGAACTCAACGCGACATGTATAGGTCAAAGTTTACTTGAGGGTGTCAGGAGACAGAAAGGGAGAAAATTTCTTTTAAGGACCTACATTTTACGTGGGCCTCTATCTTAATGGATAAATTTTAAATAAACACGGTCTTTGTCATATTCTGCGAATACAGTTCATGACTTAAAACTGTTTAACATTATTGATCAAATAAACCAAGTACAAGCGATCCAAACAGCAAAACCAAACCCAAAAATCCAATACAACATTTTGTCAGTAAAAAGGGTTTTGGGTTTGGTGTTATATGCCAGAGATTGAATAGATTATAAGCGTTATTTTGGTACAGCGAAGTCATTGTCCTGAAGTCAACGGTTCGGGTCCATGAGTGCGCCAAAGTCGTTGTGAAGAAGGTTGAACGTCATTGAAGAATGAGACAATTTCCACCTGTTCGACCCTAGGTTAATGATTACACCAAATACTCATTTCTCGAATTAAAGATTTAACCACAGGTCTGAAATAGCGTTGATATTTTGTATTGTTTTCGAATCCGTCAAATTTGGGATCGAATTATTAAACCATTATGTTGTCCAGTCCAAATGTATTTTACGAAATGGGTAAATAATAGTCCACGCCGTATAATTGTTTTCTCTTTAGATTCCACCGAGTTGACATTGATGAACGAGGCTACCATGATACTTTAACGCTTCAGTTTTTTTCTTCTTTCAAATTCTGTGATAATAATTCGATTTCTTGAAAAAACAAAGAGAGATATTTAATAAGTCCACAAAAAGGTCACACTTGATTAGTACTTCTTTTTCCGGTGAGGGGATTTCTTAAACTGTTTTGCTTCTTAATGCGTCAATGCATAGAAAACAGATTACCATTACCATCTAGAATGTAATCGTGTTAACTGGAAATTTGAACAAGTCGATAAACACCTAATACTTGAACACATTCGAACACAGCATAACAATGCCATATTTATTTGGTGGGCGGAATTTTGGCTCCATAAACCATCGTAAAACGTTGATGATATTGGCAATATACTTAAACGTATGAAATATTCTGTCACTGAAGGCTTATCGAATACACAACTGGAGTGCTTGTTAGATGATACATAAGTGGGCATTTAAGTTTATGCTCTACCACATGACGAGTTGGATGACACTTTTGAAATGAAAGTAAAGTTACAGCAGTTGCTCAAAGCTATTTCCACAAAATCTTAATACTCAATGTTCATCCTTGATGATATATAAAAAAGTGTAGTCAAAATATCATAATTCATTTAAAAGAACATGCTAAGCCGGAGCGTGGTCGGTTATATACTAACTTAAGCATAAGGCTTAGCATTTTCCTCAGCTAATGTTCTCAACTACAAAAGAAAGGTATATTATCACTGCTTGGCCTACTTTTACGTGACTGTCAGAACCAATGAGTAACTTGGTTTTTAACGAATGCTCGCATCCGGTTGCATCTGTGGGATTCTGAGCAATTGCCGGGTTGACTCTATCTGAAGTTTCAGCTTGACGCTGTCAGTTACTCAAGTAGGAAAATTAGCTCATTTCGAATACGACACACCGGAGGACCTTGCCGCCATCAATACCACCATACCTCTACTTGGGATTCCTTTTACATGCAATGTAAATTCATCAGTTTGTTCTTAAACTATAGCTCTTCAATCCCGTTACGATCCAGAAGGCCTGCTCAATGTGCGTTTCTTCGGTAGTTGAAAACACCTTCAAATTTTCATATCCATTTATTTATTTACTTACTTAGTTTATTTGTTATATTATGAGAGTTCGGAATAGTCGGGTTATTTTATGCTTCATGAAAATTTATTGTCATTTTATAGTTCAAAGACTTATGTAGTTATCAAAGTATCACGAAGTTTCAATGCGCCATTATTTTGTATCATTGGAAATTAATCCATGATTTTTTTTGTATGGATATTCATGAAGTATGACCCTATATTACTTACGCCAATCAGATTTCTAAAATGCAGATAAAGATGTTTCATTTTGTGTTTTTCTTGACCATCCATGATCTAAATAACTTATTCTTTAAATAGCGGTCAGTAGAAATCTAACATATAGCATCAGATGTTGGCTTAATAACGAATGTCAAATATTTCCCACATGTATGTGTTGTCTATTTGATTTGTCGAATAGGAATTGACCTAAAACATGTGTGTCGTAACAATTTCGCTAGATTGTTGATGTCAAATTGAATCATGCGAACGAAACGAAACAATTAGATCTGCACATTAATCAGTTAACTTGAAGCGTTTCTGTGACTGTTGAAAGTAGCTCTCCACTCAAAAATTTCAGGAAACCTTGAATTTCTTGACACGTTTTCCAAATATATTAAATTACGCTCTTTAATTCGTGTGTTTGATCTGTATTCTTTGGTCTTCATACCGCCGAAGCAAAACATATCAGTTGCAATTAAAGATTCATTGTCCTCAATTGGTTAAATTCGCTTTCACATCACGAAGCTTTTCAGAAATTGCAAACTGGTACAATTAAACCCAGAATTTAGAAACTTGTAAAATTATACCCAGAAATTACAAACTGGTACAATAGTTGTACCCTGAAATAACAAACTGGTACAATTGTACCCTGAAATAACAAACTGGTACAATTGTACCCTGAAATAACAAACTGGTACAATTGTACCCTGAAATAACAAACTGGTACAATTATTGTACCCAGAATTTAGAAACTTGTAAAATTATACCCGGTAATAATAGACCAATTTCATAATTTATAGTATAAAAATTAAATTTGAATTGTGTTTTTAATGGACCAATATCTTTATAATTAACCATTAAAATGATATCTATCCCCACATGGCAGCAAAGTAATGCGCCTGATATTTGGCTCCGAGCTAAGGTTGTACTGAAATCGAACTTCTCCAAGTTGTTGATTAGATTTTAATAAAAACAACAATTTCTTAAAATCTTTCAAATTAAATGGCGTTTTTCTACTCTTGATTTACACACTGAAGACAGGCAGCACCATTAGGTGCAATCTTGCAATTTGTATTTACATTTGTATTTACCAGGATAATTTTAGCTTTGCTCTTTTCCTTATTGCCCACTTCAGACCAGTTATGTGCTCAATAGCTAAATTTGACCTTCAACATACTTACCAAATTCCACACAAAAACATAAATAAATAAGGTCGCTGCGCTGAAATTTTTTCTAATTTAGACAATTAATATGCAGATTGGATGGATTTGGTCAAAAATGAACACGCATTGAATCTTTGCTGATGCATTTCTTCATTTTATTATCACCATTTTAACAGAAGTCGCTGTTAAGTTTCTGTTATCACAATCTTTGTATTATTATATTGAGTACTTGTTTAGATCTGCAGTCATGTCCAGTGCATTGCTGGTAAATAAAATGTGGTCGGTTACTTCCAGGAACTAAATGTTTGCCAAAGAAGATTCGAATAAAAATAACGGACTTTACAGAGGTTGTATAACGTTGACTATTTACATAACATTTTAAGCTTCTTAAATTTCCAGCTAAACAATCCTTATAGATATATCTCATTTTTCAATAACTGTCTCTGTTTTAATTGGATTTTCTAGAAATGTCTGTCTCTGTATTAACTTACATTTCTAGAAACGTCTCTGTACTAACTCACTTTTCTAGAAACGTCTCTGTACTTACTCTCTTTTCTAGAACTGCCTGTACTAACTGACTTTTCTAGAAACATCTCTGCATTAATAACTTGCATTTCTAGAAACGTCTCTGTTCTAACATAATTCTAGAAACGTTTCTGTATTATCTCACTTTTCTCG